GCCACCACTGCCTGGTCCACTGGGTTAAGTGTGCAGGGAGGAGCATCTGTTCTAAGCCCCTGTAGTTGCCATAGGAGAGTCCACCCTCTGGCTGGCCTGGCATGATGGTAGGGGCAGCAGGGGAGAAGCACTAGTGTCTGCCAGGAGGAAGGAGTGCCAGGCTGTGTACCACAGTGGGTGGCCTTGGGTCTACATTTCCAGTCAGGGAGATGAAGCATTTGGAGATCCTTAGATTGGGATCTAAGGATTTTGCTGGGAGGATTTTGTCTACCTGCCCTTTCTCCTGAGCAGCAAGTTCTGTGTAATCTCTGCCCCTTTAGTGCCCTTCTTGCTCCTGGAAAGTCTTTCAAACTGCCCTTTTTTTTAATCCCAGGGCTGCTGGTTGTGCATACTGTTCTCCACAAGCAGCTGGAATCTTAGTCTCTCAGAGTATTTTGCTTGTCTTTGCTTTCCAACCCCACTAATCTCCAGAGCACCATATAATGTAGATTCGTGCTCTCAATGATCTCCAGGGCTGGGTATTTAGCTGTCCTGGGCTTCTACTCTCTCCCTGCTCCGTTTCTTTTCATCCTGCCTGTGGTCTTGGGTGGGAGGGAGGCTTGGGTCCTACCAGATGGCAGCTTTGCTACTTTATCCTTTTCTGTGAAGTCTTTTCCCCAGATGTAGGCAGTCTATTCTGCAGTCTTTGGGTTGTTTTTTCAGGATTAGCTGTATTTGCTGTATTTTCATGTTTTATGTGGATTTGGAAAGAGGTTTCTGCCTCACTTCTCATGCCACCATTTTTTTTCCAACTCTCTGAGCTGTGACATTTTAATGTTAGACTATTCTCCTATTCTCCCTCCCTCCCCAGCTCATTGGTACAGTTACTAAAAGCTAGCAGAATTGCAGCCAATGGAAAGGTCTGATCTCTTTTGGAGTTCTTATAAAAGCACCATCCCCATCCAATATTTTTTTCTGAACATGCAGCTTCCTGGAAAATCTATTAAGAAGATATTTTTGCCATCTTATTTGAATCAGGGATCAAATCAGCTGGAGTAGTGAAGGAATGGGAAGTCCTTCCTCTGAACATTACTGAAAACTAGCAAATTGCTGGCCACACTGCAGCTGCCTAAGATTTCAACTGGGGAAATCTTATGGCCTCAATGAAACTGGAAACTGAAAAGGTCCAACACATTTCTGGGAATGTAAAAGTCTGCATAAACACACGGTTATCCACATGCCCAGGAAAGACCTGAGATAGGAGAAAGCCCAATCATTCACAGTTGCCTAACACTGAGTTCCTGTAAAAACAGAAAGTGCAAGCTAAGGCTGTATATAATCTGCCTAAAGTTTTAAGGCCTACTTTCTCACACAGATCTCCTTGGAAAGGGTAGAAGAAATACAGGCAAAGCATTTAAGGAAATCTTCTAACCAATTATTGGCTTACCAGTGAATTAGAGAGACAGGGCTCTAGGAAGCCAAACTTAAAAATTAAAATTGGAACATAAAAAAAAAAAGACTACTGGAGAATCCGGAGGCTACACACTTCACAGAATAGAGTCTATAGAATTGGTAGAAGAATGTTTTTAAATTAAAGAGCAGCAACAAGAAAACAAAAACAGCACAAAAAAAATCCCAGAAACACAAACTGTGGATGAGACAAATAAGATACTACATTTATATTATTTAAAATGTCCACTTTTCAACAAAAAGTTATGACATACAAATAAAGAGGAAGTATACTACATAAATAGAAGGGGAAAAAACAGCCAAACAAAACAGGGACAAAAACAGGGACAATGTCCTTGAGGTTGTCCAGTTTATGGATTTGAGAGACAAATACTTTAAATAAGCTATCATAAATATATATTAAGTTCAAAGAAAAAAAAGGAACTCATAGCTAAGGAATTAAAGTAAAGAATAATGTCTCACTAAATAAAAAATATCAATAAAAAGATGTAAGTTATAAAAATAAAACTGAATTTTAGTTTAAAAATACAATAACTGAAACAATAAATTCAATCACAGAACTCAGTAGTTGATTTGAGCTCGTAGAAGCATCAGCAAACATGATGACTGGTAAACAGGAAAACTAATCTGTGGTAGAGAAAGAAAAAAGAATGAAAACAAACAAAAACCAGCACCTCAGAGACCTGAGGGATACCATCAAGCATAGAAATATATGCATAAAGGAGTCCCTGGATGAGAAAAGAAAGGGGTAGAAAAACATTTGAAGAAATAATGCCCAAATAGTTCCCAAATTTGATGAAAAACATTAACGTGTACATCTACGAATGTCAATAAACTCCAAATTAAATAAATATGCCACAAAATTGATCCAAACCTAGACACCTCATAGTCAACTGATGAAAATCAAAGACAAAAATCTTGAAAGTATGAAGAGAAGCAACTTGTCCTACAAGGGATCCTCAATAAGACTGGCAACTGATTTCTCATCAGAAACCATGGAGAACAAAAAATAATGGAATGACATATTTGATGGGGGATGGGAGAGGCTGTCAATCAAGAATTCTATATCCAGCAAATAAAATAAGCTTCTCATTCATAAATAAATGAGAAGCTAAAGTACTCCCAGATTATTTTTAAAACAGAATTTATCACCAGTAGATCTGCCCTATGGGGAGTTGTTTTAGGCTGAAATAAAATGACAGAAGAACTTGAATCCACACAGAGTACCAGTAAAGGTAACCAAATAGGTAAATGTAAAATACTATAAAAGTATTTTAGTTTGTTGTTCTTTGTTTCTTCTATCTGACTTAAAAGATAACTACATAAAGCAATAATCATAAAAATGTGTTCATGGTATATTAATTTTCTATTTCTGATTTAATAAATAACTACAAATATAGTGGCTTAAAACACAAATTGATTCTTACAGTTCTGGATGTCAAAAGTCTGACATAGGTTTCAAAGAGGCTGAAATGAATGTTGGTGGCAAGGCTGTGTTCTCTTCTGGAGGCTCTAGGGATGAATATGTTTCCTTGCCTTTTCCAGCTCCTAGAAACTGCCCACATTCCTCAGCTCACCATGGCCCCCTCCTTCCATCGTCAAAACCAGCATATTGCATCTCTCTATGCATTTGTCACACCTCCAACTTTCTCAAGGACCCTTGTGACTGCATTAAGCCCATCTGAATTAATCTACAATAATCTCCTTAATTTAAAGCCAGCTGATTTACAACCTTCATACTTCATTGCCATCTAAGGGAACATATTCTCAGGTTCCAGGGATGAGGATGTAGACACCTTTGGTCTAGTCACTATTCTGCCTACCATTATTGGCCTGTAATACATTAAGGTGTAATTTGTATGTCAACAGCAGTTCAAGGAAGGGAAGAGGAAACAGGAGTATATTAGAGCATAGGTTTCTAATAGGATGAAAGCTAAAACAGTATTTATCCACACTAAATTATTTTAAGTTAAGATGCTAATTGTAATTGCCAGGGCAGCAACTGAGAAAATAACACAAAACTATAGCTTTAAAAAAAAAGAAGAAAACTAAAATGGACTCTAGAAAATATTTATTTATCATAAATTGTAGTAATGGAAGAATAGAAGTACAAAGCACATAAACAAAAAAACATAGAAAACAAATATCACAATGCCAGACATAAATTCTACCCTAAAAGTAATTACATTAAATGAATATATTAAATACTCTGAGCAAATGGCAGAGATGTAGGCAGAATGTATATTTTTTAATGGTCCAAGCATATGCTGTCTACAAGAGACATACTAAATTCAAGGACACAAAAAGTTTAAAAGAAAAGGATGGAAAAACATATATCATGCAAAGAGTAATCAAATTGAGCTTCAATCAGACAAAATCGACATTAAGACAAAAATTGTAACTAGAGACAAAGAAGGGCATCTTATATGAGTGTCAAACTATCAGGAAATATTAACAGCTATAGCATATATGCATCTAATAACACAGCCTCAAAATACATGAAGTGAAAACAGAATGGAAGGGAAAAACAGACAATTCAACAAATTGAAGACATCACTGCTTTACTTCCAAACATGGATAAATCAACTAGCCAGAAGATAAACAAGGAAACAGAAAACATAAATAGCCAAAAAAGAAATCATAATCAAAGAAGAATCACAAGAGAAATTGGAATACTTTTGAGTTGGATGAAACACTCAACATATCAAAACTTAAGGTATACAGTTAAAATAGATCTGAAAGGGAAATTTAGCTTAAAATGCCAGCATTTTATAAAAGATCTTAAATCAATAATTTATACAACTAAAGGAACTAGATAAAGAACAAACTAAATTCAAATATGCCAGAAGAAAGGACATAATAAAAATTAGGGAAAAAGAACAAAAAAGAAAAAGCAAAATAGAGAAATATCTTCATAACTATAACTTGTTTCTTTGAAAAGGTCAACAAAACAAACATTTAGCTAGACTGACCAAAAAAAAAAGGATGAAGAAGAATCATACTAATGTACTAATGTCGGGAGTGAAAGGGGACTATCACAACCAATATTACAGAAATGAAAAAGATTTAAAGTACATTCGTTGCCTAAGATTGCTGTGGGCAGTGACTGCTAATGAGCATGGGGTTTCATTTTGGGGTGGTGAAAAAGTTCTAAAGTCAGATTGCTATCATGTTTGCAAATTGTAAATATACTAAAAAGTACTTAACTGTATAGTTTAAGTGGGTGAATTTATGATATGTAAGCTGTCTATCAATAGAACTGTTTTTAAAAGTTCAGGACAAAACTGGGCCCAAAATGCATGGTTGCCTCAGGGGCAGGAGGAAGGCATTTCCTTCCTGAAAATCAGAGGGAAACATGAGGAAGGGATGGCAGGAAGTGATAAATGAAGTAAAAATTTGAGGCCTCATGCTTAAAAATCCTTACTTTCTTCTCTAGATCTCAGACCCTTTTAGGGAGCTGTCCTACCAACATCTCAGAAGTGATTCCTTCTCATAGACCAGCTAGATGACCACCTGCTATGGCCTTGCCTATACAAATCACAATCACTTACCTAGGTACCATTCTATCACCTCCTTCCTCTGAAGTGTCCAGGGCTCCTTCCCCTGCTCCAATAAGGAGATCACATCTGGCTTAGAATCAGAAAGTCCTGTTCAAGAAAAAATAAAAAGAGACAGTTATGTTGTATGTGTCCTAGAACTAAAGTCAATCCATAGTTAGCAAGCAAGAGGAGTAGGTAGATTAAGGGTCAGAGGAAAGGGTGAAGGTCAGAGGAATGAAAACAATAAAGTTGTCCAATGGAGTAGCCAAACTATTCTCTGGTAAGCAAGAATCATTAATTCAACCAGGTTCTTGAAAAGCACTCACAAGAAATTCAAAACAAATGACATAAAAATT